TATTTATTACACTTTTTACGATTATTATTATTATTATTATGATGGTTATTTCTGCGTGAAACAATCGAATAGACTAGGCATGTCAATTCACTTAAAATAAACCAGCCTTGTTATTTGTTTAGACATCAATCAAACATGGATGGATACAAATGGAAAGTATATAGTTAGGTATTATGGGAAGATTTACTGATTAGATAGTGAACACATAATCTTGCTTAAACAACAATCTTTACATGTTGATGATAAAAATAATAAAAATGCACAAGTGTTTTGTCAACAAATATTTGTACACATGATTACACTATGCTTGTTAATCTGTATCAAGACATACATTCGTACACTTAATGTAAACCTCTAATGCCACCACACTTATTTGAACATTTGTCTGTTTGTGTTTTCAGTCCATGAATGAGCTATGTCAGTAACAAATTACATCAGTCATTAAGAAATATTATTTATTATTTCAGATAAAAATAATAAGTGAATTGTATAGATTTGTTGAATCTATGCCATAAGATCATGTAATGCATGAAACTGGGGTTGTGTTCTTTTCTCCTACTTTTGTAGTTTGTTTTGATTTATTTACGCATATTCACTATACGCTGAAATAAATTAGTAAACAGTTGCAGCAAAGTTGAATGAGGCATTTATAAGCCAACAAATACTCTATTATCTGTCAAGTAACTACAGGCTTCTTTGTAAATTTGTAATTAGCATCTACAATTCAAGTCAATGCTAAGAATCTTGGGCTAAAACAATTCCCACCAAACACAGAGAGTCCAGATTACGAATACGCTGTAGTAACAAGTACGACATTGTCACTGTGTTTTACCGATGAAAAAAAGTCACAGCATTGAAGTGCCAGATTTATAGCAAAATTGTATTGAAAATGATCTCTGGAACTCATCGAAGTTTACACCTGTGCATGGTGTATTTTGCAATATTTGAGAAATTATTCCTTCGATTCATTTTAAATCATTTTTCAAAATTTTTTCAATTAAAGAAAATCATGGTTCAAAGAGTATTGTAGTTTATTCGCGACACAATCAAACATTTATTTCGTCCATTTCTCTATGTGCATTATACAATGCAGTTTTTTTTCCAAACGATCCAATCATACTTATATTATGTCGAGTGTTGCATTCTTTCTTAGTCTACTGACTGATTTGTTAAAATCCAAAATCGACTAGCTTAAAAATATGCAAAATTGATCTATAGAAATCTTAAACATTTTCGGTAAAATATGAATTTTTTTCAATGTGTTTAAACTGTAAATAATCTCATATTTGGAATCACATACACACCAGAATGGCAATAACACTTATTACTTATAAGCGAATAAAGAATTCTAACAGTATTGTTCAATGCTGCTTTGAAGAGTTTTTTCTTTTTAAAAAGTGATTGGGACTACAAAAGATACTGGTGATAAACTATGATAAAAGAAATAAAAATGAAGGCGTCTGAGATTTTGACTATGAAATGAATGTCTCACACATGTGTTCATTACTTTCAAACAACTTAATTAGTAAAAACCAACATTCTCCAACTGGTTGTCCGTGACTGTCGATGAATCACATGACATCATATTGCTTGCATAAAATAGACAAGCTGTTTTTTCCCCAGAAATAAATCTATTCTAAAAAAGAAGGAATTTTGAATGTACCCTTTTAGTTTATGAGGATGCTTGGATTATTATTTACAGCAGATTTAAAAGGGAAGAAGACAGTAACAGCGTCAACGATGTCATTCTTTGTAGCTGCACATCGGTATTTATAGGTAATCTTTCATGTAGAGTAGTCAGTAAAATAGAAGAGTTACACAAAATTATCAACATTAGTCAGACTGATTCAAGCTGAATACAAACAATTAGCGCTGCGTAATCTGGTCAGGTTAAATAAACGGTTTCAGGTATTGAATTTAATAGTAATAATAATAATTTATAAGTTATAAATGGGTGTCATTTCAATATAATTAGTTTTCCAAGTACTGAATAAAAATGAGGTCATAGTAATCAAAAATCATCAACTGCATATGTTATGTAATAGTTTTAAGCGCAATCAGAGGTATAAAATTAACTGTTCTCTCTTAACAGCTAAAGATCTAGTTTGCGTGTTACACATACACACAAACTCAGAAAACCATGTTAACAAAAGAGACAATAATATATAGATACTTGCTATGTTTTCTAACATGCTACTCTTCTATAAAACGAGTTCAGTCAATTTATTACTTTTTTTTCAAACAACAAATTTTTCCTTCAATGTTTTAAATTGTAATTAATTCATAATTGAACAATTTACTAAAATCACTTCGCAAAATCTAATTTGTACGTTTTGTTTTGTAATCTAATGCATACATTATGTCAATACATGTGTTATTATGTTTCTCAATGAATCGATTTCATAACTAACAAACAAAAATTGATACACAGGGCAAATGCAACCAGTTTATGAAACAGTAAATAAACCACAGTGTTTTTATTCTTTCCACAATAAAACTAAACGGTTAATTGTTTAACTATACACTTGTGTTGATACTGTCAAAATGGACGACAACCATGTGGTATTTTCAATTAGAACTTTATTCTGCTTTCATTTTTGAAGACACGACTAATTTTTTTTTTCAATAAATTTCTTTATTTAATATTGAGTAGGCTTCTTTATAAGGATTTTGACATTCATAAAACATTTTGTTAAAATGATACAGTGCAATCAACTCCAAATCTAATCTAATCATGTTTATAAACATAAATTAAGTCAATATGTGGTTTTATTTTACAAAGCTAGAGAATTCAATAATTGATACAAGTGTATTTTGTATTTGATCGAATAACCAACACCGCCATTAAAATTATCGATTCAGTTTGTTTCAATAAAATGGAGTTTATAACACTGATATAAGATTTTTTTCATTCAGCACTATTTCATGTCTAGATTCATTTAATTTCTATGGAAAATTCATTTTTTGCATGTCACATTTAAATGCCGTACAACAGTACTACAAATCTTTCTTAAAAACTTCAATAAACAAAGTCAATTGATAAGTCAGATACTACTTTAACGACACATCATCTGTTTACAATTCATTGTAAATTAGTACGTTTGCATCAGTAAGAGTATGGGTAGTTTGGTGGTCAGAAAATGATAACAATAATATATTGTAAAAAATATTGTACCTACGGTATTCATGCAAGTTCTTCATGTTATGTTACATTGTTTGAAGTGTTCTAGTTCAAAAATTGTGAAGGCAGTACATTTTTCACATATTTAATAGTAATGCAAAGCGACATTCATGAACTATTGATTCTATTCAACTTAACATCTTGTTCATGTATGGACGATACGATGCATATCGTTTTCAATAGCATATCGGATTGTTTACAATCATCTACAATCAGAGTAAATAGATCGGAAACAGATAGCGAAGAACAACAAAATTACAACGATAGGTTACTCAGATCTAATAAGTTTTCTTTGATTCATGGTATAAGGTTATTTTGTTTTAATTTTCGGGTTCGATATTATTCAAACCAGATAGATTTACAGGGGATTGTTTTGGTCTTTAATAAGGAGGTTTGATGGGTAGGTGCAGTAACAAAACGAATAAACATTTTTGGTTCCTATAATCTCATTTATGAAATGGGATATAATTACAGCTGTTAGTACATTTAAAGCATTTGCTGGAGAGTATCAGGTACTGACGCAGCAAATGGAGGATGGAAGTGATTTTATCTCATGCATAGATTGCAGTGAATTATTCCAGAGTCTCGAAAATTTACTGATAAACTAATTTATACAAAGACAAGATGCAAAATGAGATTATTTCATTATTGACAAAAAGTTATTCTGGCAGCATATTGAATCGCCCCATGGATGTAAAGCATAGTTTGTTAAATATTTTAAACAAATTAATTAGATTGACTATAGGTCTTCTCTTTCAAAAAGATTCGAGTTCAAGTTTTTTACATCCGGAGTGATGATTTAAAGTACAGTCAGTTCCAAAAATGCGAAGTCTAAATCATCTCCGGACGGATCCCAGACTTAATTTATTATTTATCAGGACACTATTGAGAATGAAAGTGAAGCATTCTAGAAGTAGTCCAACATATAATTTGTACCTAAAATAAGTGATTCACTGTTATAGAGATTAGGGATTACGCAACCCTGAAAGCGTTGAGACTGGAAGCAGATACATTTCCAGCATATTTCGATAGCTGTAACATATTCATTGAGAGTAAGATGGTGTGAAGTGATACTTCGTGTACTTGGATGCTTGATAATGAATTTATAGACGCTAACTAGATTCCTAGAATTCTCTTATAGGAAAAGGAACGAAGTTAAATTATAAACTTTAATCTAAGTCTCATTACTGTGTGGAGGACAAAAGTATTTGTAGGTTTATTTGTAGTCTTTGGTCTGTGGAATTTGCGATAGGATACTAAATTGAGCATTCACGTCAGAGGTTTCTAGAACGTTTCTAAAGAATACTGATTGGATAAAATGTTCCTTGCCTCCTTGTGGCTGTCAAAGGCTTCATTAAGGAAAAGTACATGGTACTCAACCAGAAGATTAACCTGTTTCATAGGTGTCAAAAGTGCAAGGTGAGTCAACAGCCAGCCAACATATGTTGTTAAAAAATATATATACATTTAATGAAACGAAAAACAGTAAAGTCATAATTCAGATTGTCATTGATATTTGTAAAACAGAATCAAATAGTCCTGTTTGTAAAGCATTGTGGTAATAGAGACAGGCATATCTCACAGAATTGTAATTAAAAATTTGATACAACCACTGATCTTATTAACACTGATTGAAATCTTTACTGATTCGAGGGGATTAAGGCACAGCCTTTTGTGCAATGACATTTTAGTACTACTATGGAGATCCTTGCTACTAAATACAAATTCTTCATACCAGTGGATAGTTAATAAAACTCTATGTTGCTTATAAACTTCTACATTTATCTGTTTTTTTTGTTTGGTTCATATACATTTTTAGTGTATCCAAATAGTCAAAGTGAACAACGACACCAGCAGAATACACAAGATCCACATTTGCCACAAGATAATAATCACAATAGCAATTCTATCACTGCAACAACATTAGATGAAAATTCAAGAAATGCTAAAGAATCTTTATATTTATGGCTTTCTGAGACACAACTTAATCAATTGTTAGAGTATAACTTTCTGGATGTATATCGTGCTCATGCTGGTCAAGGAAGAAGTATATCTGATTTAACTTGGGATGCTAATCATTCACAATCATTTCATCAGAGTTTATGTTTTTGGTTGGATACAAGTTTACCAAAGCATACATGTTGTACATTTCAAATGGAATTGGGATTGTTACAGAAAACTACCGAAGAATTACATCAGAGTTTATCAAATTATTTAGGACGATGGCGTAAAGAACTGGCAAAATTAAGAATTACTTTACGAGGTAATCTAAGAAACAAAATATTTTTTTAAATTTAATGTGATATTTACCTTTTGAGGAATGTTTCAATTAAGTAGATATTGGAATTGTCATTTGTTTGGTTGAGATTATTTGTATAACATTTGAAAAGCCGTTTCATTCTAGCTAGGTCTAGTTAAACATTACTATTCCCAAATTCCGCAAATGACTGAATTTTACATTTTCATTTATCCGAAATAACATGATATCTTTGATGTAAAAAAGAATATCTAAAATCACTTTGCTTGATATTTAAGACCTTAAGTGAAATGTTTGTCTTATAATTGTACATGTCACGTGACTTCAAGGCAGTGACTGATGAGTTACCTGGTCCATTTGATAGACTAAGCTGTTTACTTCTGAATATAATGAGATATCTAAGTGAAGCATCATGAACTGCTGAAAACTGCTGGTAAGTCTTATATATAGTAAGATTCAGGACTTGATGATGATTTATACTTTATGTACCTGTCAGTGCATATCTTCCAAGGATAATCATTAAACCATTTTCAAACATTTTCCAATCAAGACAAGAATTATTTTCTGCAAAAGGTTGTGAAGATTGTTGAGTTTCATCGAAATCAGTATGCGTCTAGAAGAAAATCAAACTCAAGATCTTCCATCACAAATGAGAACTCCTAACTGTCAATCTTTGAGTCAGCATTCCATGATAAAAATTTGAGGCGTCTTCGTACTAAGCCAAAGTTCTTAGGTTCAACTCCTACATAAAAGTGCTGCGAAGTCACATACTAGGGAGAAACGACTTTGCAAGGCTTTCAGGATTTTCGATCGTGGTCTAACTTATAGATGAGAGTGACTTGTTATTTTAAGAGTTCGATCGTTATCAGTTAGGCATCACTAAAGTAATCCGCAGTCTACGTTGAAAAAACCCAGTGAGAAATTGTTCTCAATGTTCAACTATCGGATAAATACTTTAGACATCATTTAATTAGACATGAATGGTGGTGAGTTGTAAAAAGGGAAAAAAGAAAATCAAAAATGCCATGACTAGCGAGTTCTAAACATTGTTTGATAATTATGATTAACATGATAGAATATTCTAATTTTTGCACAATTATTCATCATATACAAGAGTAATAGATTATCCATTTGAGAAATCATTACTTTTTTAAATGATCCGGCTTGTTGATTCAATGGTCACCCTTGAAATATCAACATGACCAGAAAGTTTTAAAAAAAACATGTCCCTCTGGTCGCTAAATGTTCATTGATATTTAACTGTATTATTATTTGTTTTTTTGTAGTAGTGCTCTCACTGGCAAAATTTTCATCGATTTCGACAAAATTGCCTAAAGATATAGACTGTTGTTTTTGATAGGTATAAAATATAAAATACACCCAACGTTCAAGTAGTAAATATCGATACTTTATTCAAATGCTTATGAATAATGAATTATCACTAGATAGACAGATTTTGAACAACACTAATCCTACAGATGCAGTGTTCCAACGCATTAGGATGCTTACAAAATATTAAGCTCCACTATTCAGTAACATTACATTGACAAAGTGAACTAGTTGTGTGTATGAAAGTTGAAATAAAGTGAAAAATAAATTTGCTTGAAACATGTGTGTAGTAATAGTTAGGCTTTCAGAGAATGCCATTGAATTTTTTTTCTAAAGATAAAAAGAAGAGAATATTGATTACAATATATTAGCCTAGTTCGATTATTATTTAACAAGGTGAATAAAATTCATACAAAAATACACGCACTAGAAAATATGCAGAGAGAGGAAATATCGTCTGATAGTAGTTGTGTGATCATCTGTTTGCAAAAAACAAACAGCAACTGTTTTGACGTTTGCATTCCTTTAAGTTTTTCATAAAGTTTGGAAACGATTGTATAACAGTGTAAAACTATTAGTTAGTTGAAAAATAATATTCTCTCTGTTATTAAATACATATATATATATATATATATATACATATATATATATATATATATATATATATATATATACTGTGATTCGAAGCATTTACACTGCATCCAAACTAATCCGATGAATTTGCGTATTTTCAGTATTTTTTTAGACAAACAGTTTGAACTGATCAATGTAGATTGTATTATTTCATCGGCTTGTGTAATTCATTCAATACAATTTACAATTGATCCAAGATATTTTGTCTGAAAGATGATTATTTTTTTCTCTGTAGGGTATACTTTCGCACGATTAGTTATAATTTTCATTTAGCTAACGATTTTCTGTCATTCACAAATGCTTAATTTTGAATATAATCTGTCACTTATAAAAAATATCGGTTCAGTTTAATCTAATGTATTTGTGAAATAAGTCTTCAGTTATTTTTGAACAGACGACAATTAATAACATGGCGGGAATAACTAAAACAGGCAAAGCGTTTTATCAGTTTGAATTCTGTTCTGCCTATAAAACTTCAATTGAGTGGTGAAAATCGATTTAGTTTGTAATGGTATTGAATTATCCAGCTTCTAATTTATTTCGATCGGAATTTGATCAGCCTTAGTAAAAATAAATGTACATCTGATGCTCTAACTGCTTTGATGTTTATGGAGGCTAATTCCGTATAGGGGATGGAAAACAAATCATCAGTACGATTGTCTGAATGCCTGGTTCTAACTTTCCTGCAATCGTTCAATATATCAGTCGACCTAAATTACAAACCTGAGTTAATTTATATAATTTAATGAATGATTACACATGTTCTTGTATGTTACACACATTCAATAAATTATGTGAAAGTAATATGAAACATTTTTCTTAAATCAACTTACACAATGTAATACAGTGATTTTTAAGTGAATTCAGTTGTGATTCAATTGAAATTTTGTACTTGATTCTTGAAGTGAATAAAAATAGATTTATCGAAATCAAGTTGTCACTACATATAACAGAATTTTTCTCTTTTATGAACTGACTATCAAGGTTGTTATGGAATAACAAATTCATTCATACATACTGATATTAATTAAACATCAGTTGATTAAACAATGAGTAAAGGCTTCAGACGCCCAACTTATTAGTTACAGAACTACTACTGAGCATTTGAAATGACAAGTACCAGGTTCAAATCTCTTTGTGAATATTGACATTAGAATACAGCTAGTTTATCTGACATACAGGCTGAAGGGACAGCTTTTAGATTACACTACTCATCAGTAGCCTAATGTAAAAAAATACATGAGCAGTTAAAATTATTTTCTGTTAGAATTTCTAATTTGATCTCGATTACACGTAGATTTATTCTCATAGCGTTTGTAATTACAAAATGTGTATATGGGAAAAAGAACCACCATTTGAAGAATAACCAAATAATTTTTCAGAAGTCTATCGCTCAAGCGATATTTTACATATATATATATATATATATATGTGAAGAGAACCTTCATTCAAGAAGTGCCTAGTAAGAAACATGACACTGTTCAATTGTACAATGAATTGTCAGTGAAAAAAATGATGATCTGGTCAAGTTATCTAGTTAGTTTTGATTTCTAAATTTTGAGATTAAATCATTGAATGAATCAGAGCATATGAAGTGAATATATACTGCCTAATCAATGATTACTTTTATTCTACATATGAAAAACTACCAAAATATATTCATGAAATATATTCAAATATGTATGCTTGCTTACTTTGGCAAATTAATTTTTAGCTTATTTCACGGCATAAAGCAATGAGTTGGTCACTTGTCTTCTCAAATTCGCTTTTACACTTTGAATTCGTATGTTTTTCTGAGTGAAAGATTCCATAAAATAAACTCATCCAAAGGAATCGGTTTTTAATTTCTTATTACCGCTGTCGCACATACGCGGTCAGTCTAAGAATGATTTACGGAAATCAATGAGGAGATTTATATCATAACATATTTAATTGTTCGTTCAAATCAAAGTCAGATCATTGAGAAATTAATATACTATTTCAAAACTTTGCCTCATTTGTAATGGTTTACATTTTGGCGTTGGTGTTTTTTTTTTTTCTTGAATAAAATTCGATCAGTCCTATTTTGAATATGGAAGTGAATATCAACCCTGAGAAGCAGGTACAATTAGGTTACTGAATAATAAAATACACACTAATCGTCTATATTCACCTAAACAAACCCATTTTCGTCAATAATGTTCCTTGTATAATACTAGACAAGAATTTTATGCTGTTACTAATTGATCTTTTATTCAAATGAACACATTATCTATCATTAAATATAACTTGTCAGTGTTGGGTTTTGTTTTCTTATTAATCACACACACACACATGTAAAGAAAGCATCAATGTAAACTAAATTTTCACATTATTGAAATAAATATTAATGTAGAAAAAGACAGCAGTGTTCACTAATGATGGCTTAAACTGAAAATCATCAATCTATTTTAAATTATTACTACAATTCATAGTCATCTTGTTCACGTTGTATTTCACACGAATTAGTTTTTGTGTTTATAGAATGTGAAAATGACTTTTCTGTTTAGAATAAAACATGGTATTTGTAAAAAAGAAATGACTACAAATTTCAATGATTTTCTCAACTACATAAAAACATTATTCTACTCCAATTGTTGTTGAATCATTCGATTTAATAAGTCTTTTATTAAGTATCACCATAATTGATTCTATTTAAAATTTCGTATTCAAATCAATAAAGAAATCACAAGTGACTGTTAGTCTTGCTCACTGATAGTTTTTTGCCAGTTCATATCATTTGAGACAACATGTAATATTAAAGACAATATTAAATCTTCTCGAATAAACCAACTATCATAAATAATCGTGGAAACTGGTTTTATCGATGAAAAAGGTTGCCAAGTTTTGTTTATTCCTAATGTTTAGTTATAATGATGTTTTAACACATTGAAATCATGAACGAATCATTATTAGAACACCATTATAAACCTGGAAGCACTGGATGGTGGTTTCGTCCTAGTATAGGACTCATCAGAAGTGCAACTCTCGAGATTCGAACCCAGTACCTTCAGTGCTGCCCACGAACGCCCAACCTCCAGCAGTGATTGATACATGATTTCAATCTATAAAAACAATGATATCCATAACTATAATTGAAAAATATGTTAATTTTGTTTAAAAAACAAAATTTTTGATCGGAGCAATACATTTACTCTATTAAGACTCTGTTTAAGTATGATCGATCACATGTTTGATTCAGTACAGTACTACTTTTAGAAAAGAGCTTCATTCGAATACAATACAACTTGAAGAGGCTCTCATGTTAATCATGATCATTCAGTTGATCCGTTAGATTTTATAATCAGTTTTAGTTTATTGCAATAAATGTCATTCAAACTATTTTCTTGACAGAAAAGCTGTTTGAATAGATGCTTTGAACTTAAAGGTTAATTACCTATTGAATATTGACTATTCACGGAGATACAGATTTTGTTTTACCCCAGATTTAGACGATTCCCAGTGTTGGTATTCACAAACAAAACTGGAATGCGGTATCTATCACTTCAAATCCTTCTATGGCTATGTGTTAAACTATGTGATTCAATAAAATAGCCCACGTTTTACTCATATCAATATAAACAATTAGCTTAAATCTGTGATAATATCTGGAATCGATAGTATGGTTAGCAGTGGAATGCTTCAGCACGCACAAGTTTCATTCCTTTTTTATGCTGAACCCAATGGAGTTAACTGCATCTTCGAATGGAAGAACAAATTCATTCAATTGATCAATCCCAAATAAGATGAAAGGCTCCATCTGAATTGCATTGTTAAACACATTGTATTGTATTGTATCTGAGCTTATGCTGTAATCGGTACATCGAGGTAGTCACACAAAATGTACATTGATCAACAAAGACGAATCAAAATTTACTCATTATATAAGAATAATAAAATCAAATTAGTTGTAAAAATAATACAACTTTCTGTAAATATTTGAATTTCTTTTTTAATGATATTCTAAATGACAAAACCTACCAAAGTGTGTTATAATTCATCATATGTAATCTATATAGTTTGATTTACTTGAAGATTTTTGTATACATAATTATATATACTTCTCTATACTTCTGTTCTATTTATAGATCAATTAATTGAAAGTTTTGAAATATTGAAAATCAAATTAAATCAAACAGTGTGTTCATATGAATTAATTGAACTAAGAAGCATTCATCATTCCGAAGAGAATTCTTCAAATCGTACATGGAATTGTTGGTATCATGTAATGGAATTGATATCGAAATTGCGTTTAATTTTGGAACAGTCGTTCATAGCACAAGATGATATTATTTTAGATTTAATGTTTCCAGTTGATAATTTACTGATGCAATCTTTATTGGAGACATCGTGTCAATCGCATATTACAGATACAAAAAATATACAAGCTGAACAATTAGATGAAGAAATAAAGTGAGTTGATTAACTATTCTCTTCACATGTATAAATGTGAAATTGAATTTAATTCACTTTTTGAATTTTGTGTATGATAATAAGATGTCTAATGATATTTTTGATGATTAAAAGTAATTTCATTCAAATGTAGTCGATTTGCAAATAGATGGATCATCTGTCGGCTGCATAAGCATTGCATAATCATCTCACTTACATGGGGTTGTTAACATACAGTAATGCAGTTCGCTAGGATGTACAAATCAAATTACTAGACACTGATTATTGTTCCTTGGGTATGTTAAGGGGAGTTATGATATCTGGCTTCTTGGACTGTATGCCCGCTTCCCACCATCTATAACATCAAAGATGATGATATGCTTTTATCGATGGTTCTCTTATTTGAGTTATTTACCACGGGTATTTTGTCTCAGTTCCGCGTACAGCAAATATCTTAGTCTTGTGTTCAATATGAATATGTTTAAAGTTATTCTCACATAATGGTTATTGAACTTTGTGCTGCAAAACTGTAACTCCTACTCAATAATTCACTAGCAAAAACAATACTGAGGCGATTTAATTTACTCCAGTTACAAAGCAATAAAAGAGGAGGGCTTATTCACAAAATACACCTCAACCGTTTATGTATATATATATATATATATATATACCCGCACTCACATAAGCCAATTTCGTTTCATTTATCATCCACTAATAAATTTTATAAAAAAGTCAATGTGACAATCATCTTTTGTGAATTGTTGCATCACACATTTATTTCATCATTTACTTGTTCGCTCATTGAAATTAGCGATTATTTTTTATTTTCTACTTTATGGAATAATCAATTTCATGTTTGTATTCACTGTACGTTTCGGTAAAAGAAAATATGGTTTGAATCGGTATTGAGATATATGAAATGTATTTATTATATAACAGACGAGATGGGAACTATTAATAAAAATTGAATGCTAAGATTTCATTTATTATTTATGTATATATATATATATATATATCACTGTATATCTGATACAGAATTCATTCAGTTCGGAGTTATCCTGAAAATGTACATCTGACCTAGATTTATACAAATATATCATTTACAAGATCTGATTAAAGATTCTGAAAAGGTTTTGATCCGCAAAAATGATTTATTTCAATACTACTACTTCAACATAACTTTAGTCTTAGCACAATTTTTCGGTTACCGTTAGAACTTCGTAAGGGAACACATTATCCACTTGTTTATTTTCACCGCTGAAATTATTCGATCAATCAACGTTAACATAAATATGTAGCCACTTAAATAGGGATGAACTCGATGTCAGCTACTATCCAAATAAATTTAAAATGTTTCTGTTATTATCATCCATAGTTCTACTAAGAATTTTCTTATTGTTTAGTGTTTACCCTAAAGTTTGTTTAAATGATATAGAAAAAAACTGCAAAATCGTGGACCGATAAGTATTAAAAGTTGACTCAGGGTGCTAAAAGTTGACTTTTGATCGATATTTTGTTTTTGTCATGTAATGTTGTTCTACTGTTACGGAAACAACACATAACTACTCAACTAAATGTATACAGTTGATTTTATGCTCACAACCATCCATAACAGTATTGTGACAAACATAGAGTTGAACTGCAAGGGTTTGTGAAAAAAAATGAGGAACACTGGAAAACAGTTTTGTTCATGTATAGGACCCCTGAATATTGAGTATTTTTGACTGCGCCAGAGTTCAAACTCAGGACATTACGTGTTTACTGCAAATGGTTACTCAGTGGGAACGCATGTTTGTATCCGGTCGTAAAACTCCAACTTCAGTCAATTCACAGTATAGCGTAGCCAGAGTCCGCTGATAGGACAGCAATCAAGTCGTCATCGGCTATCAATACAAAGCTAACTGAAGTCAGTGTATAACGGATTCCACACACTAACTTACATTGTATTGATAGGCTTGTTTTTGCTTTATTTGTTTCAACACAAATATTAGTATAAAAGGACAACAGATATATATGCTCTATGCAATAAAATCAGAATAACGAAAATTTGAGTATAATAAAGAAAACACAAACATAAATAGATGTTAGTGTTATGGCATTAATATTAGCAATAATAACTTTATTAGTAACAATAATAGTAACAATATTAGTGGCAGAAATAGTTCAGTTATGAAGACTATAATCAGAAAGGATCCTTCCAGCTAAATAAGTTCCTTTCACTTTAATGAAGAAAGTAAAAGAATGTTACAGAAGGACCACAATTGGCTTCTATTTTGAGCCTTGTCTGATAACGTCTCAAGTGAGTCATGAAAGACTGAATCATACCAGTTCTATGTAGCCTTCTTTCGTACCCCAAAACCATGGCATACACTGAATACCACTCAGAGTCGGCAATTCAACTGGGATTACAGGCACAGCATATGTAGGATAAGAAAACAAAGTCGGTGTTCGAGATGATGACATCAGTCGAATTTTCTCCACAGTAGCTGAACATAATTGGCCGAGTCTCTGCACCACTAACATAGTGTTATCAGTTGATGCCGGCTCTTTTTCGGAAACAACAATGGTCAGACAAATAGATTTGCCTAGCATCCTTAACTCAGAGTTGTGAAGATTGTTGAATTACTTTGAAATCATGAATCGATCAAGGTCAGACCACTTTTAGAAGCCTAGAGGCACTGGGTAGCTGTTTCGTCCTGGTATGGGACTCATGTAGGGAGTAACAATAATGATAATACCTATATTGCGTATAACAATGAATACAGAATTCATGCTAGGTCACATGCATGATAGGGCTGATATAGATGGTAATGTTTATTATAAAGAACGGATAAATGATATAATATTGTGCTATAGTGTTATAGTTCGAAAATTGTTAAGGTATTATATTTTCCACATGTTTTAAAGCAGTGTAAGGCAGCAGTCAGAAGCTATTAATTCTTTTCAACTAAATATCAAGTTGCTTTATTCACGGCGTATTTAATGAATTTCATGTACGAGCTGCGGTTTCAGTGTAGACAGTAACCAAGAAATAGGTTTGTACGCTGTTTACTCCCTCAAAATACTGGGTCTCATGTGCATTATTGGTTTTGAATTTGGGTTTTCCATCCACTCGTAGATAGAATCTCTGTATCCGCCAATAAACTTTTAATTAACCGTACGATACGAGCAGAAGTGATAAATTTAGGGCTGATTTGAGAATGCTTTCCAATTTTTAAAACGTATTTATGAAACTTTATTTACAACGCTAACAAATCAATCACTATTCTACAATTTGATGAAATAAATTTATACATACAGACGATAAATTTATGACAAGTAAATAGATAATTTGTTAAACAGATGTGCATTAAGATAAAAAAAATCTTAAGAAATATTTTTATTCGTAATAAATTACCAAGATGTGGTTTTATGTTCGAATTTTTTATTCCTTCTCAGCCAAAATCGGAATCGGTATAGATACATTATTCCTCCTTCCCCACGTTTAAAAACAATATATAATCTGAATCGAATCGGGATAAGTGATGCTTATGCAGGTTTTGTTTAGTCAGTCTTTTACTAGCTAAGTTCATCATTGTGTTCATCTTTGTATAATACTGGCCTGTGTTGGTGGAGGTTAACGAAAAGCTCGGGGCAGATAGATGAAGACAATGAAGACAACAATAAACTAATTTGAGCTTTATTGGTTAATAAAGTTTATCTAATTTTAGTCACTATCTATGGCCGATGATGTTTGTTGACGTTGCAAGCTATAACCATGGTAGTCAGGAAAGCGTTTATTTTCTGTTTTAATCTACACAATCTACACCCAATTTTCATTATTTCTCACTGTTTATTATTTGATATTAATTTCTCTGTTATTAGAACAAACTTGTGAAATTTGTATTCTAACTGTTCATTGATGGATAGTTCCATACTGGTACGAAACAACTGCCTGGGGATTCCTTGTTTTTAACAGTTATCTATACTTAGTTCGTGATGTGTAAACTAGGAGAACTATTTATTTATAGCTTGTATAATTTGTGTCTTGATTCATTTAAAGTATAATTTATATATTTTTTTACCAATTATGGAATATAATATTCCACCTGAATTGATAGCTTAAATTGTACACTTATTTTGACTGTTTGAATATTTTAAGACGATGCGTCGAAAGGTTTGATTTTTAAACTGTAATTTAATAACTGTAGTTTAACAGTAACACACTAAATCACTTCATAGCAGTGATCACTTAAAGAGTTAGATATTCAATTAAATACACAAAAAGCATACATCATATCAGTTTGTTGACGAGTAGTTTTTTGTTTGAAAATTTTACTGATTGACATTGGAGAGATTGCATTTTCGTGCTAGATGATTTAACTTTCATTTGTTAGAAGTACTTTTATACCTCAACATGTCATTGAAATCAAATATTTGCTCAATTTTACACTGGAACATACAACATCTAATCATATTGGTAGACTCCTTCTTTTCTTTTAATACACCTTTTGTATCTCTTCGTAAAATCTTTGAATTTTTTTCTCATGAATACACTTAAACTTATTTAATGATGGAGTATAGTTCTTTTTTTCTAAAATTCTTATTCATTTACAGTTTAATCAATAACCTTGCTAAATCTCCTAATTACATTTGTACAGGAATGATAAGAAACAAAGTAAAAGGCTGAAACTCATAATAATACACATTACAGTAGTGGTTAAGTAGAGAGAGAAGGTAGGGATACTGGTTAATTTCAATGGATATTGTAACTATTCTAATAGTCAGCTTACAAACGCAAGGCGAAAACACATGCAGTTTTCTCTAATAATAATAATAATAATAACTTGAACATCCTTATACAATAAAGCTATGAACAGATTTTACTTTAATTGATATTAATTAGAAAAACTAATGCTGATGATAAAATGAAGAGGAGGGTATGTAGGAATATAAATGTACTTGGGTTTTCAGTTTCCATAGTAACATATTCATTTATCTAAGTGAAATCGAAACAGTCGTATATTTTATTTTTCCTTTTG